CCATGAGTAAGAATGACACAGACTTACTTGCTCCTGCTTCCGAATAACTAAACGTAAGAAATAACCATGAGTAAGAATGACACAGATGTTACTTGCTCCTGCTTCCAATAATCTAAAGGTAAGAAATACCATGAGTAAGAATGACAGACTTTACTTGCTCCTGCTTCCAATAATCTAAAGGTAAGAAATACCATGAGTAAGAATGACAGACTTTACTTGCTCCTGCTTCCAATAATCTAAAGGTAAGAAATACCATGAGTAAGAAAGACACAGACTTTACTTGCTCCTGCTTCCAATAAACTAAACGTAAGAAATACCATGAGTAAGAATGACACAGACTTTACTTGCTCCTGCTTCCAATAATCTAAAGGTAAGAAATACCATGAGTAAGAATGACAGACTTTACTTGCTCCTGCTTTCAATAATCTAAAGGTAAGAAATACCATGAGTAAGAATGACAGACTTTACTTGCTCCTGCTTCCAATAATCTAAAGGTAAGAAATACCATGAGTAAGAATGACAAACTTAATTCCTCCTACTTCCAAATAATCTGAAGATGAGATGTCTTGTTATAACAAATACAATCAATAGTTTTTGAAGTAAATTTATGTAATATTTAAAAAACATTATTTCTATTAATACTTAAAAAATCAGTTACTTCTATTGAGTGAAAATCATTTTAAAATTGGTTTAAGAACCATCTGAAGCATCAAAAAAAAAAAAATCAAAAGTGTGTCAAGCAGAAAAAGATAACGTGTATATCCCATTATTAATTAATGATCTATATCAGAGGTTGTAAAAAAAAAGAGACCCAATTACAATAATTTTAATGTTTTTATATATTATATATTTCCAAAAAGTACAATTAATGTTCAGTTGGTAATTATTCATCTTTATTTAACTAATTTTGATGTTTTATTTCCCAGAAATTTTAATACATTGGAAAAATGAAACCCAAACCATGCTAATGTTGCATAGTATCTTAAAGAAACAAACAGTCAATGACCTGTAAAACTTTTAAACAGAACAGCGATCTTGGCCAATCATGTACAATGTTTTCATTCTAACCAGCTTGGCCTGCCCAACAGTAAAGTACAGCCTGTAATAAGACTAGACATGCATAAGAACTCTCACACATACTATGTAATATGTACACAATGCTGAGCACTACACATGTACACACACTGCTGATATGTATTGTCAGTGGTGTAGTGGTACGGGAATGGCATTCCTTTACCTTTACAGAAAGGCTGTTCTCTCACTATTTTGAAGGAATTCATAAACAATATGAAACAACGGTATTCACACCAACTTTTTCTCATGAACCAACTGGGTCACAGCCAGGCACTTCTAATTCCATTCCTAACAACATTTCTGAGCTTCGTTCCTTAGAAGTCAACGAGTGGCCAGCATAGATAAATCCAGGCTTTAAAGAAAAGGAAATAAAGTCCCTTTGTAAACGTTTCAGTTTACCATTTTCAAAAACAACCAGAGCATACAGACTTTCTATACAGTGGTGGGCACCATATTCAAACAGATCTGAATACTTTAATTGGGTATTCAAAAGTCATCCTGTGCAGTTCTTCCAAATACGAACGAGGCTTTAGCAGCATGAACCTTATCATTATGGAAATGAAGTCTTGGTTGTTAATCAACCATGTGACAAATCTCATGTTCAATAAACTTCACGGCCCTCTGAAACTGGAAACAAATGGCTTAGGTGTCATCATTCAGCAGCCGACACCCAAAAAGGATAGCCAAGTCCAAGGAACTCACTATGGACTAAGCTTGGAAGTTCTGTTAACAAGTTAACATCTTTCATATTTCCTAGCTCGACTGGTCGTGTCTGTCTAATGTTAGCCTTAGGTCTACATGTGCATAATCGAAATGGGGGTCAGTGTTTCAACTGTGACGATTAACAATCAAAATTCTGAGTTTCGTTTTACAAATTTGACCATTTTAGCTCTTAACAAAGGTTTATCAGAAAGAAGTTAAGACAATCATGTTAGTTTTATTGTCATAAGCATTTATACTAGCAATTTATCTTGAAAAATATTCAAGTTATCGGCATTTGTTTTTGTTGAGAATTCCAGCCCACCCATATATATATACAAAAATCATAAAATACAATGTGTTGTAATGTAACTAACTGAGCTGTATACACCGTACTGTGTTTCCACACAATCACTGATGCTCAGTTGAACTCCATACAAAATTTACGTGCATAAAGCAGTACAGAGGTGCAGCTTCTCCACAATAGAAAGTTCAGTGACTAAAACAACATTATTAGCCAATCAGAAAAGTGAGCTTTTCCGAATGTTTCAGTGTTTCGGTGGATTATAACAACATTTCTCTTGTATGATATAGCCCAAAATTCAAATGAATCAACAAGCTTTTAAGTAATATACCATAGTCTCCACATATTAGACAAAGCTTCTCATGGTTATCAGCTCCCTCTAGCAAATAACTAAATTTTACAATTGAAAATATCACTTACAATAATATGTTAAATAATTTCAAAATGTCTATAAAAAATCCAAGCTAAAGGGAGATTTAAATCCACACTATCAGATAACACTACAACATGAATACTTTATCTCGGCCCACCAGACCACCTTTGACTTTAGTTTTTCCATCTACTATTAAATACTAAAGTCATTGTCTGCCTTAATTAAGATTGCATTTATGTCCCAAGTGACTGTGGGATGCAACAACCATTAAAAAGTATGAAATATGTTTTTGTCATTACATATATATACACAGCACATGTAAAGGCAACTGCATTCCCTAGTTCAAATCAAGAACTGGTTTTAATGTGATATAAGTGTCTAGATATGTTCAGAAATATCCCAACATTAGGAAGGGCTATGGCAATAAATCAGATTAGTCAGAAAGTTTTTCCCTGTGTATACAATAACAGTAATGCTAATCCTGCCTTTCTTCTAATAACTCTATTAGACTCACTAAAATACATCTAGATATTGTTTACATGGAAACTAATAATTTATAAGTTCATTAGACTCACTAAAATACCTCTAGATATTGTTTACATAGAAGCTAATAATTTTATTAGTTCTATTAGACTCACTAAAATACATCTAGATATTGTTTACATGGAAACTAATAATTTATTAGTTCTATTAGACTCACTAAAATACATCTAGATATTGTTTACATGGAAACTAATAATTTATAAGTTCCATTAGACTCACTAAAATACCTCT